GCGCGTCGCTGGCGGCGCCACCGGCGAGGCGCCCTCCTGCCGGCGCCTCGCCGTGTGCGATGGCCGCAGGCGGCGCGGCCAGGAGGCCGAAGAGGGTGGCGCCGCCCGCGGCTGCGATGTCAAAAATTGGCATCTCGGACAAGGATCGGCCGCAGCGAATGGAAGAGCCAACGACGGACAGCGAGGAAGAGTCAAGAGGAGAATGAGGATCGATGGGACGGGGGAAAAGGAGGAAGGAAGAAGGACGAGTCGGCGGGAGTGGAAGATGCCATGAGAACAGAGGGCGGACGCAAAGGAGGGAGGAGGGAGGAGGGAGGAGGATGGCGGAGGAGCAGGACGAGGGAGGAGGACGGACAAGGAGAAAGAGTAGAGAAGGCTGAGAAGGTGGAGACAGAGGATGAACCTGGAGGAAGGAGGGAGGGGACGGAGGGGGGAGGGTCCTCAGAAGCAGGAGAGGGAGGGAGAAGGAGGGAATAAAAAGGACGACGACGATGACGACGACAACGACACGAGGAGGACGACATTGAGGACGAGGAGGAGGACGAGGAGGGCGGCTGTGACGTCTCTCACACACACACAAACACGATCTCTCTCTCTCTCTCTCGCACACACACACCCTCTCTATCACCCACTCTCACACACACACACACGCACGCACAGACACACAGACGTTCGCTCTCTCTCTCTCTCTCTCCCTCTCTCTCTCGCTCTCTCACTTTTTCTGACGCACGCTCTCTCTCTCTCACTCACACACACACGCGCTCACACACGCGCACACACACACGCACTCCCACACACACGCTCACACACACATGCGCACGCCCACTCTCACACTCTCACACACTCTCAGACACAGTCTCTCTCTATCACTCACTCAACGCACACACGCACTCTCTCTTACACACTCTCTCTCGCTCTCTCTCTCTCCCATACACACATAGCCACACACACACACGCACGCGCGCACAGACACACGCACGCACACACACACACACACACACACTCAAAACGGCGCCGTACCCCTCCGGGGCGGGCGCGCGATCCAACGGTGGAGAAAATCAGGGGGTGGATTAAAAACACAGGCGCAATTGATCGTCGATCCCCAGGAAAGGCAAGGGATAACATGGAAAACCATGGGAACTGGAGGGATGACCTGGGGAGCCCTGAGAATTGTGTCTACCTACGCGTGGTTGTGTGTGTGCAGCCCTTCCGACATCCCCCTCTTATCCACTTCCCGTCCTCCTTCCTCCGGCCCCCCCCCCCGCATTTCTAATGCATCTTCCACGTGGGGACTGAAAAGCAAAGCAAAAAAAAACTCAAGGAAAACGCGACCCACGGCAAGGAAACCAAACGACGAAGGAGGGAAGGGAGTGGCGGGGGGTGGGGGGGGGGGGTCTGAGGGGGGGGGGGACAGGGGCGGGCCACGGAATGATGGGCCAAGTGGCAGGAGGGGGAGGGACAAGAGGGGGTAGGAGGGTCGCATCGCCCAATTTCAAGAAGGGTCGCATCGCACGGCGGGGGGGCACAGAAAACGCAGCACCCGACAAACAAGCAGCGATTATGGAAAAATGATTTTCGGTGATAAAGAAAGCATATTTTGTAATATGTGCAATTTCCAGTAATTCGCCTAAGATGATATTGCGTATTTCTGGTCCCAACATTTCAAGTGTTTGTGGGATTGTTGGTGTGGAGTTACTCGGGGTAGCGTCATTGGAAATGATTCACTATCGTTGATCGGAGCTCCTCAACACATGTCAAGCACACGGGGCATGAACGATGTGGAAGTCTAAACCGAAACGCCCGGCATGGCCTACCGACACGCCCCGGGGTGCGACAGGAAGGTGGGCAAAAAAAACGAACGGCGCCACCCCGCCTGCGGCCGCGCGAGGTTTAGCGTATAACCGGAAAGCTGGCGTAGGTGTTTGCGTGGTATACACCACGGCCCCCGATGGGCCGTAGCGCAACATGGAGGGTCGCAGGTGGGGCGGCGTCGTTTATTTTGTTGGCCGAGGAGGAAGTATTTAGAAGCAGCGGGGATGGAGGAGGAGGAGAAGGAGGAAGGAGAAACAAACAGGAAGAGGAGACAGACAGACAGACATGCTCATTGGATCCATCGTCGACTTCGCCTGACATCAGCCAACACTAGCACAATCTTGGATCCTGAGGGGCGAAACCGTTGAAGGACGCTATTTTAAAAGCGTGGGAGCCGCGCACACGTCGCGGGGCGGGGGGGGGCCGATCAAGGGCCGAGACGCCCCACCAGAGCCAACGCGACGGAGCCCACAGGGCCAGGACCGCCATGCTAGCCACCAGGAGGGCGCCACGACCACCCGATCAAGTCCACGCCCCCGACGCACCGCCCTGTGAGGAGGCAGGCCCCTTGCCGCCGCCGCTGGCATTTGGCCCTGATGAGGGGCCTCCGAAAGGGCTGAGAACCCGACTGTCTCCCACGGGAACCCCGACCGCGCCTGCGTGGGGAGATTAATTGCAGGTACCGAGGTCGGACGGAAGGGGTCTAAGGGGGTCTCGGCGGAAGGTGGCCTGCACCCGATAACTGTTGAAACCTCGCGCTATGAGATCAATCAAAGTCCGTCGGCCTCGGAACCAACAAATTCTGACTGGCAGGAGGTGCAGCCTCAACCGAGCTTCTTCTCACCTCGAGTACACGTCGTCCTGGACCACAGTCGCCTGCATCTCGTTGGTCAGCTTCGACAGGGCCCGACGCAACGGGCTAAGGGGGGCGCCCTCTCCATGTGCACCCCCTTCATGTCCGTCATCGCCTCGCCGGGAGACGCCTCCAACTTCTGCCCATGCATGTGCAAGAGCTCCACCGCGTGCGTAATGCGCCCCTTCGTCGTGCCCGTCTGCTCCTGCGCGCTGCTGCCCTTGCCCTTGCCCTTGTCGGGCTTGCCCTTGTTCGCCGTCCAGCAGAGGCACGGCACCAGGGCCGCAAGCTGCTGAAGAGAGTGAGTCAACACCACATCCTTTCAAAAAGCCGCGAAACGCCTCTCTTCAGCTCCGTGTTGCTCAAACTCCGCCGACGCCGCGAAGACCGCCACGCGTGGTGGGCCCCTCGCCTCGAATTCGGCCGTCTCTCCGTTTGCCGCGTTGTCGCGCAGCACCTTTGACTGCGCGTCGTACGCCCTGCTTGTGGCCTCCTGCTCCTCCGCCAGGCCGCCCCTCGCGACCCCGAGCCTTTTGTGCGCCGCTGCGGCCATGTCTTGGATCTCTAGAAAATCCACCAGTACGAGGCGCCTCATCGTCTTCACCGTCTCGCGAAGGCCCTTGCCACCACCGCCCCCCTTGTTCACCGCGTCCGTTTTGGAGCTCCTGGCGGGAGGAGGCTGCGTCGCCACGACCTGCGCTGGAACTGCCGACCATGACGGCGTCCCCTCCAAGGCTATGCTGCTTCCGCCTCTGACATGTAGTGCGTGTAAGGGGGCGGCGCGGTACCGCAACTCTCGGGAAGTGCTGAAACAAATGGCTACAGAGATGATTCGGGTCAGCGTGATCGACTCCACAGATCTTGCACACCAGACCATCAGGAGGGACCTGACAAGGAAACTTCCGAGCCCCATCAGGAAGACAGTAACCCCGAATCAACGATCGATAGGCATGGCGGCCAACGACCACCCTAGAGCTAAAGACAGTGTGACTGGCCACGCATAGGTGAAGGTACGTGTCCAGCATTACGGATGTGGCGTCTATTTCGTAAATGGTTCAATAGATCCCGCATCGACCGAAACACGGCCGAACATGACAACCCATCCTCCTCCACCCACTCCCACTTCCATTCTTGAGGGACCTCAAGACCAGGGGGCTGGAACTTCCGTGGGAGCTTGCAAACCTGGAGGAGGAATCGTCACTCAAGTCTGGACCGACCGGAGGACCGATACATCGATCTTGATAAAGTCGGGCGCCAGCTCGGGTTCCACGAACCTGCATGGGGTACTCCGAAGAGCTCTTCCAAGGCCAGGGCTTCCTCCCCAAGAATACGCCAGGCCTCATGGAAATCCCCCTGAATCCGACGAGCACAAGGAGACGCATGTTTTGTTAGACGGCAGCGGGACACGGGTCTGCAACGGTCGAACTCCAGCGCTGGCAAATGGCCGAACAGTGCACACAGGAGCTGCTTGCTGGTTCCAGGAAGGCGGGCAATATGGTGGTGCCAGCTTAGGCGCATGACGAGCAACTCTTTTGCACTCGGCACGAATTTACAATACTGCAGAACTTCTGAATTAGACCGCATCTTGGTATGAGCACTTTCGTGTGAGGTGCCTCGAACATGGAGTGGTAATCGGCAAAGGCGTGCGAGGTGAGCGTCGAATTCTGTACACTGCTGAAATGTCACCATCATCGCCTCCAGTCCGCTGAGCAGCGCATTCTAAACAAGCCCAACGATAATAACTCTAGTCCACCTCCAAGGACACTTCAGGGACCAGAAACAACCCATGGAGTAGAAGCCTGCTGATGCTGCTTCCTTGCGCCTGGAGACCTCGGGGCCCGTGATGCCTGACAGCGAGATGTGGGACCCAATAGATCTAGTACGTTCGTGAACTTTTCCTCCTAGAATGGATGCGGCGTGTTGGCGGAACCCCCTCTTGACCTGAACGCTTCCGGCTCCCGAGACGTGAAAGAGGGTGACCCGCTTGCTCTTGTTGGCTCCGAAACCTACCTCCTCCAACTCCTCTCCGAATGCCCGATCTGAGTCTCTCATCCATCCCAAGAAATCTGAAATCCTCTGAAATCGAGACGCCACCGTAAAGTTCCAGACGTCGTCGGCATATTAATACATGCTCAGGTTAACTTTCATTTCTTTCCATTCGCATATGGAGGTCCCGAGCAGTACGATGGGCCTCCCGATACTTCCAAGAGAAGGTAAGGCGAGTGAACGTGCCCACAGGAGGAGGAGGAGGAGGAGGAGGAGGAGGAGGAGGAGGGAGGACGGAGAAAGGAGGGCTGGGCGAGCGGTGCTGGCAGCCACGCCCGCGCCACGGCTCCTTCTGGTTCGGCGGGCGGCACCTCACGGCCACGAACACGCTGTTCGCGCCGTCCGCCATCGCTCGTGCGGCGCGGGGCGCGGTGCCTTCCAAGGGCGCAGGAGGACGCCAGCAGTGCACCTGCACCGGTCCTGGGCATTTTCGGGGGGCGTTCGAGAGGGGGGCGTCCAAGAGGGGGGGGAGGGCGCAAGTCATGACCGGCGGCATGTGCGCGGCCGAGGGGGGGGCGGGGACGTATTGAATCCGCCATGAAATCTGGGGAGATATCATGGCCCCGCCACGATATCCCCCCCCCTCGTTATCACACCCCCATCTTGGCCGCCCCCGAGCATTGCACGAGGGTGATGTCATGCTAAGACTGGCTCAGGATGCGTTTCAGGACTTCCGGAGAGTATCTACTGGCGGCCCTCGTTTCTGGAGCCCGTGTGAAGCATCTGGGGACCTTCGCAATCCTGGGAATCCTGGAAATCTTGGAACGCATCACTCTCGGACCTCTTGCTCCTCTGGCAGCAGGCTCATGCTGGGCCCAAGATCGGTGCATACGCTCGCCTTCCAAAGCCAGGAGGTGGTACACAGTCAGGAACGTTTGAATACAGCGTGCCGCGGCGGCGGCCCCGGCGACACGCTGTGCCTTGTGAGCGGATCGCGTGTCGCTCCGCTCTGCGAGGCGGGTGGCAGGGAAAAGGTCGGCACGCTGACGCTGGGGGACGGAAAGGGGACAGCGTGCCGCGCCGAAGCGTGGTGGGCCATGAACTGGCGGAGCGACACGCCGAGACAGAGCTCCTGACCGCATGCACCCAGGATGGGCCTGCAGCCCCAGGTATGCGACGTCCTGATTTTTTCAATACGGGGCCCCTGGATCCCGACCCTTCCCCCGGGCCCGGTTAAACACCGCTTTCCGGGGAAAGGCTTTTTGGACACGGCCCCGAGGCCCGGCGACGGCCCCCCGAGGCCGAAAACAACGAAAAACCTCCCGCCCTGGCTTTTCTACGGCGCGACCGTGCATGGGGCGGTGCAGGCGGACACAGCTGGTGCCCTCCGAGCCGACCGGCGGGAGGCGGCAGGCAGGCGACGGGGGGCGGCGGCTACATGCCCCCGGCGCGCGCCCGGCGGAGAGGACCGCTCGGGACTACTTGGGCCGCGGGCGCGCAGGCGCGCGCGCGAGCGCGCTCACTTCTCTGACTGCCTGCCAGACCACCCTAGGTCGACCCGACAAACCGACTATCGGGTTGGGGGGGAACGGGCTTCAGATGTGTGTTTTCCCATGTTCCCCGACGCCCCCCCCCGCTGGAAATGGAGGGCAGATCGGGGTCGTCGGGTTTGGTTGGTTTTGGGTTGGGGTGGTTTGATGGGCGGTGATTATCGCCCCTCGCGCGCGTGACGCGAAGGGAGCTCGGAGGGGAGCCGCTCAGAGACAACGGCGGCCCTCCGTGGCATTCCCCGCCTTGCGCTGGGACCTCCCAGAGAGACTTCTCGTCGCCATGGGCTGGGTCCGCCTCGACGAGCGGATCGGGGGTGGACCCTGGGAGGGGTCCACGGACCGATCTTGAACGGATCTGCAGGAGAGCCGCCGCTATAGGAACTGGCCCTCGCGGGTCCTGAGAGAAAGCTGTCCTTGATCCTACGGCGTTCCTGTGGGGCCAATTCTTCATCCTGAGCCGTTTTGTTGACAGCCACAGGGCCCTGGGGAGCCTGAGCATGGGGAAAACCCGACCGACAAATCCGCTACACTGCCTCTGGCACGAAGTGGAGTGCCCCAATGCTCATGCAGCCCTGAGAGATAACAGGTTCGTAAGTTTCGTAAGGGCCTGGACCCCAAATTTCCCAGGCACGGGCGCTCTCGGGCGGTACTGGGCGCTGCCTGGGTTTCGTGTGGGCATCCGGGACGGTCCCCCCGCTCAGGAGGGCCCCCAAACGGGCCAAGAAAGAGGCCGCCACGACGGTCCAGGAGAGCCCAGAGTCGCCGAAAGATCGCTTCAAGACGACAACGATAGCTGGCCTCCAGGCGGTCCAAGAGGCCTCGAAGACGCCCCAAGAGGCCTCCAAGAGCACGCCCAAGAGGGCTCCAAGAGGCACAAATCCATGGTTTCATAAGATGTTGAATGAGTTTGACGTTCACGCCTTTTCGACTTCCCGACGCTCCCACACGGCCCAGGAGGCCCCAAACATCGCCCCAAGACAGCCGAAGAGTTCTCCAAGAGGGCCCAAAAACTGCCCAAGAGGGCCCCAAGACGGCCCCAAGACGGCCAAGAGACCTCCAAGACGGCCCACGAGGTCCCTAAGACGGGACCTGAACGGACATTTCGAGCACACGGCCCGGAGAGGCCCCCAAGGAGGCCCCCAAGAAGCCCCCAAGAGGCCCCCGGAAGCCCCCAAGAGGTCCCCAGGAAGCCCCCAGGAGGCCCCCAAGAAGCCCCCAAGAGGCCCCAAGAGGCCCCCAAGAGGTCCCCAGGAAGCCTCAAGAGGCCCCCAAGACGCTCCCAGGGAGCTTTCTAGAGGCCCCCAAGAGGCCCTAAACTGCCCCCCGGAGGCTCCCGGAAGCGCTCCGAAGAGACCCCAAGACGCATCCCTGAGGACTCTGACCCACAACCCAGGCGCGATGGCGATACGGGCCAAAGGCGATTAGATACACAGATACCGCTGCTCCCTGGAGCTCCCTTAAGGTCCGTTCTTGCCAGAACTTCGAAGCGACTCCAGCGGTGGCGACGAGGGCCTCCCAGGATACCTGAGAAAGCGAAAACGGTGAAAGGGTAGCGGTAATGGTGCATCTTTGACTACCGACCAAACCACCAACCACTCAACCTGAAATCGCCGTTGGGCCCGTCAATTTCCAGTGAGGAGACATTCCAAGACATGGAGGAAACACGCTGGAACGCGTACGTCCCCCAGCCAGAAGCTTTAGGGATACTGGGATATCTGGGTTGGGCGGGGGCGTTATGGGAAGTATAAGTAAGGATATGTCGGTCCATATCCCCGACTTCCCGGAGTTTCGAACGGACAGCAAATGTTGGGCCCATCTCGGGGATATACCATTGGGTGCTGCCCATCCTCGGTAAGGGCTCGCCCGAATAGCCCCGCGAGGAGTGCGTCCGAATAGCGCCCTGGGGATGTATCCCCCAGCTCGCCTCCTTTTCGGAGCGGCTTTTAAAACAGGGCTAGGATCGGGATAAATCGCTCCAGAGCGTTCCGGAGCGCTCTCAGAGCGTTCCGGAACGCTCTGGAGCGGCCGCGGCGCCCAATACATCCTCCAAACCCGCCGATTCTCAGAGATTTGGAGTACCCCGATCCGATTTTGTCCCGATCTTCGCGTCGTTTTAGCTTTCTCTGTCGTGGAACAGGTGGGGTGTGGGGGTCCTGAGCTCTTGGCGACGCACTCTCTTCACAACGGGTGTGTTCGCCCGGTGTCGGGCCCCGGGCACCCTCACAGATCGATCGCGCTCGAAAGATGAAGCAGAGAGATGGGGCCAAGGGCCCCCGTCGTGATCTCCACCGCTGTCTCGATGTTTCGAAGCGTCGGATCTAAGGGGCCGCGAAATCGCACGCGACAGAAGTGGCTCTGTCCTCCGCCTCTGCGGACCCGGGCCCGCCGCGCGGCGCGGACGCGCGCCGCAGGTCGTCGCGGGCTCGGAGAAAATTATCCTGGCGAAAGGCCCAACCATACGCAATTCCGAATGCCGCCGTTGTAAGTATCGTCGTTGGTGGAACACCCGATGGGGCCACGAAGCGTGTGAGAGGTGCGCCAAATGGAGGTGGAACTGCATGCGGACCCTGCCACTGGGGCCTTCGGTGGAGCACCCTGTGGGGCCACGAAACGTGTGAGGGGTGCGCCGAAATGGAGGTGGAACTGCATGCGGACCCTGCCATTGGCGCCCTCGGCGGAGCTCCCTATGGGGCCGCGAAACGTGTGAGGGCTGCGCCGAAATGGAGGTGGAACTGCATGCGGACCCTGCCACTTGGGCCTTAGGCGGAGCTCTCTATGGGGCCACGAAACGTGTGAGGGGTGTGCCGAAATGGAGGTGGAACTGCTTGCGGACCGTGCCACTTGGGCCTTAGGCGGGGCTCCCTATGACGCCACGAAACGTGTGAGGGGTGCGCCGAAATGGAAGTGGAACTGCATGCGGACCCTGCCAGTTAGGCCTTAGGCGGAGCTCCCTATGGGGCCACGAAACGTGTGAGGGGTGCGCCGAAATGGAGGTTGCGGACCCTGCCACTGGGCCTCAGGTGGAGCTCCCTATGGGGCCACGAAGCGTGTGAGGGGTGCGCCGAAATGGAGGTGGAACCGCATGCGGACCCTGACACTTGGGCCTTCGGTGGAGCTCCCTATGGGGCCACGAAACGTGTGAGGGGTGCGCCGAAATGGAGGTGGAACCGCATGCGGACCCTGACATTTGGGCCTTCGGTGGAGCTCCCTAAGCTCCCATGGCCACGAAACGTGTGAGGGGTGCGCCGAAATGGGGGTGGAACTGCATGCGGACCCTGCCATTGGGGCCTTCGGCGGAGCTCCCTATGGAGCCACGAAACGTGCGAGGGGTGCGCCGAAATGAGTTGTGGAACTGCATGCGGACCCTGCCACTGGGGCCTTCGGCGGAGCACCCTATGGGGCCACGAAACGTGTGAGGGTGCGCCGAAATGAGTTGTGGAACTGCATGCGGACCCTGCCATTGGCGCCATCGGTGGAGCTCCCTATGGGGCCACGAAACGTGTGAGGGGTGCGCCGAAATGGAGGTGGAACCGCATGCGGACCCTGACACTTGGGCCTTCGGTGGAGCTCCCTATGGGGCCACGAATCGTGTGAGGGGTGCGACGAAATGGAGGTGGAACCGCATGCGGACCCTGACACTTGGGCCTTCGGTGGAGCTCCCTATGGGGCCACGAAACGTGTGAGGGGTGCGCCGAAATGGAGGTGGAACCGCATGCGGACCCTGACACTTGAGCCTTCGGTGGAGCTCCCTATGGGGCCACGGAACGTGTGAGGGGTGCGCCGAAATGGAGGTGGAACCGCATGCGGACCTTGCCACTGGGGCCTTCGGTGGAGCTCACTATGGGTCCACGAAACGTGT